AATACTTTCCACGAAAAGGTACAGAGCAAAAAAAAAAAATAAAAACAAAGTGGTCGCAAATCGGGATTCTCACACCAGCAACTAACAGCATGCTTTGAGAAGTACTAATTAAAACTTACCTCAACATCACAAGCACAGATTCATCAAGGCAAGATTTATTTGAGACACAAAAAGTGCAAACAAATAGTAGAGAATTAGAATACCGTACACAAAGCTTGTGGGCGTTGCGGGTGTAGCTGTAGCGTTCGTCGCGCAACAGGAGCCCTCAAAAGGTAAGCGTAGGACGTCAGTATTGGGCTGATGGCTATTTAACAGAATCACCCGCAGTTTCCTTCTGAGGAAATAAAGTTTACCATCAATCCCAGTTTTAGGCATACGGCAGGCCCAAGGCGTCTTGGTGGCTTTCAGCTGCCGTCACCAGTAGCGAACACAAAGCTCGTAGATTCCGAAGAGCCTACCGGCGGCCCTGTTGCCATCGTTTGGCGCATGATCTATTACTTTCAACTTGAAAGCAGCCGTGTAACTTCAGTATCGCCCCATAACGTCATAAGATTACCGACTTAATGTACAAAACACGCCACAACGTGCACTTGCCATTTTGGCTTGGCTTGAATTGGATTGAATCTCCGTGCAATACTAGTACGCTTGATGCTTAAGAGATGGTGCCAGATGATGCGTGCTATCATCATCAGTGGGTGGAAGGAGCAGACGACATTACTGCAGCAGTTTTCGGAGGTGGGATAATTACTCGAGGAAAAAAAATCGTATTTTTTGTTGGGCGGTGTGGGGGGTGCGAGAATTATGCGAGTGCGAGGATTACGGGAGTAAATACGGCAATTCTGAACACCTAATGCTTTGCAAGGCTGTCCTAACGTCTGCTTCTGGAGCTTGTACATAACCTTCCTAATATCCGGGCACAGATTAACCCAAATAAAAAGTTTAGTCTTGAACCCGTCGGGTGCTGCCTTTATCACTGTCACGACCTTGTGACAGTATCAATCATCATAACTTTGTTTCATTCACACTATATTAATAAAATGTACCAAGCTTTGCAATGCTGTAAACTGGACCATGCGTACTGTATAAATTCACAAGCGAATGTGATGTTGATGCAGGGGTGGCAGCCTGTCGTCATCGAACCGAAACACGCCAAGCCCTGCACAGAAACCATATTTAAAAAGAAAGTAAGATTAACGGTAAGTTAACACCCTAAAGATAACGCAGCTATGTAGTTTTGCACAAAAAATAATCAGAGGGGTGAAAATGTGGAGGTATTTTTTAAATTATAAATTATGAAAAGAAAGTTTGGATTTCAGAGCCACTTTCTTTACCGTCACTTCCGTCCGCCATAACGTCTTCATTGCACTCGCTGTGTCGCTGTTGCTGCGCGCGTCTCGTATGTTGTGTTGTGCGCCGTAGCATAGAGCCGGTAGCGCCGTAGAACCTCACGAACCATGGCGCCGCTTGGAAAGCAAAGTCGGCGAAGCTATGACGCCAAGTTCAAGCTGCGCGCTATTGAATTTGCCGAAAACCACGGGAACAGAGAAGCAGGGAGGCAATTCGACGTCAGTGAAAAAATAATCCGTGACTGGCGCAAGGCCCACAGCGTCCTCCGGACGATGAAGTCGACAAAGAAGGCCAACCGCGGCAAGAAGGCGTGCTGGCCGGACCTCGAGCGTAGCCTGCGCACGTGGGTACTGCAACAACGAGCCGAAGGAAGAGGGCTGTCAACAGTACAGCTGCGCCTGAAGGCGAAGGCTCTGGCAGCGGAGAGCAATGTTACGAGATTCAATGGTGGTCCGTCGTGGTGTTTCCGCTTTATGCGACGGAATCAGCTGGTTATGAGAGCCCGGACGACAGTGTGCCAGAAGCTGCCCGATGACTTTCAGGCGCAACTGGACAACGTCAGCTCATTCGTGAGGGAGGAAGTTGCGAAGAAGAATGTCAGCGCGAGCCACATCGTTAATATGGATGAAGTGCCGCTGACATTCGACATCCCGCTTGGGAGATGCATCGCCGAAAAAGGTCAGAAAACTGTCACGGTGAGGACAACAGGCCAGGAGAAGTCCCACTTCACCGTTGTGCTCGCCTGCTGCGCGAACGGCACAAAGCTGCCTCCCATGCTAATATTTAAGCGGAAAACCTTGCCGAAGGATAATTTCCCTCCTACAGTGGTGATTCAAGCGAACACAAAAGGTTGGATGGACGAGGGAATGATGAGTGTGTGGCTTGACCGCTGTTTTTCCCGTCGACCATACGGATTCTTCCACGTGAAGCCAGGAATGCTGGTAATGGACAGTATGCGGGCACATATCACCGATATTGTCAAGAAAGAGATCAGTTCAAAGAACTGTATGCCAGTGATTATTCCCGGTGGCATGACGAAGATGCTTCAGCCGCTTGACATTTCTGTCAACCGCAGCTTCAAGGCAGTTCTGCGACGTTCGTGGGAAACGTGGATGTCGGAGGGAGAACACAGCTTCACAAAAACGGGGCGCATGAGACGCGCAGAGTTCGGCGAAGTGGCGAAATGGGTGAGTGACGCTTGGGAGTCAATTTCTGCGAAGACCATTGTGGCGGGCTTACTTAAGGCCGGTTTGATCCCCTGCGCAGCCAATGGCGACATTGAAGAGTCCGATTCGAGCGAGTCGGAAGACGACAGTGATGTGCCAGCAGTTCTGCAACCAGAAGTAGCTGCATTGTTCGTGAGCGACTCGGAGGAAGACGACTTCGATGGCTTTGAATAAACGTCACCAAGCTATCAGAATAATAAAGGTACTTCTGAAAGTATTGTTTTTATGTGTGTTTAAAAGCGCTCGCACGCGCGACTGCCGATAGCTAGATACGTGCAAAAGCGTTGGCCGTCGCAAGCATGCATTTTTGCAATGCATTGTCACGACGAGATACTTAAATGTCGGTGGTCGGATGAGCAAGTGCGTCTTCTACACCGGTGCGACTTATATACGTTTTTTTTTTTTCAGAAAAACTGCTATTTTGAGGGGAGTGCGACTTATACAAGGGTGCGACTTATAAACCGGAAAATACGGTATATTAATAAAATGTACCCAAGCTTTGCAATGCTGTAAACTGGACCATGCGTACTGTATAAATTCACAAGCGAATGTGATGTTGATGCAGGGGTGGCAGCCTGTCGTCATCGAACCGGGACACGCCAAGCCCTTCACCGGGAAGCTCGTCGAGGGCACCCGACCCACACCTACTGCGCAAGAACCACGATGTCAACACGGTGACTATCGTGCAGACGACAGACACATCGCAGGTCATCAACCAGGATACCGTGATCGTGTCAGTGTCTGGACATAACGCGCGCACACTGGTGCTGCCCTCGGGACACTCGGAGGTGCAGGTGACTCTCGCACATGTCTGACACGCAGCTACTCGGCGCCCTTCGTCGCCGCCAGACGCCTCGACGTCATACGCCTGCGCAGGCAGGCATTGCGGCTGCCGGCGCCTGCATGTCGCCCAGGATGATAGGCGGCGGCGGCGCCGTGCAAGAGACGGGGATGGCATGCCGGTGGGTACTTTCACTTCTTGCCTAGCACTGGTCTGTCCCAGATTGCTCTCAGCTAAGTTGTTGCACGCAGCAGCTTCGACAGAGCACATGTCATCTATGGCCTCAAAGGAGATACTGTTAAAGATGAAATCTTCATTACCATATGCAGTCATCTTTCACATGCATGCTGGGTCGACAGGTTCGCGTATCGCATGCAGATAAGTTTTTGTACCATCTTTCCTTTCTGCCATAGTGCGCATATTCAGTTGATAGTCATTTGCAGCGTCCCGACTTTCTTTTAGATGCGGAAGCATCTTATACTCGCGCCTTGTAGTGCGCCGTCCGCGCCGTCCGCACCGCTTCTCGAACATTCGACAGCTGACGCGCGCGCATGCGCCGTCGCGCCGTCGCCCACTCTTCCACCATCTGTGCATCCCTTCCTCCTCTACACACCGCGCGCGCTTCACTCCTCCACCATCTGTGCACCCTTCCTCCTCTACACACCGCGTTCGACATCTACAATTCTCCTGATTCTCCAGTGGACGCGCATGCGCCGTCGCGCTTCGAGAACATTCAACAGCTGACAGTGCATGCGCCGTCGTGCTGTATATATACTCAAGGTCGGCGCTCGCTCGCTCAGTTGCCGCTCGTCGGTTGGTTTGTACGGCGCGTCGACGTCCAAGGTCGCGGGGAAATGAATTCCAACAAATCCACAGACACAATGATCGACGTCCCTTCGACCAGCGCCGCCCTTTCGCATACGTGTGTACGTGTTCACTCATTTAACACCCCCTCCTACAACCACGTTAACCAATTTAGCCATCGACCCAAGTAAGTCGCAATTTAACACCCCATTTCACAACCACGTTAACCAATTTAGCCATTGACCCAAGTAAGTCGCACTTTAACACCCCGTTAACCAATTATATGCTCCGCATCCTCCTCAGTGTTCCCCCGAGGGAAGCTGCGGGCAATTTTTTTTGTGTCCTCGTTTGCAGACTCTATCTTTTTACAATGAATACGTACCAAATAACTCAGTTCTATGCGTGCTATCATCATCAGTGGGTGGAATGAGCAGACGACATTACTGCAGCAGTTTTCGGAGGTGGGATAATTACTCGAGGAAAAAAAATCGTATTTTTGTTGGGCGGTGTGGGGGGTGCGAGAATTATGCGAGTGCGAGGATTACGGGAGTAAATACGGCAATTCTGAACACCTAATGCTTTGCAAGGCTGTCCTAACGTCTGCTTCTGGAGCTTGTACATAACCTTCCTAATATCCGGGCACAGATTAACCCAAATAAAAAGTTTAGTCTTGAACCCGTCGGGTGCTGCCTTTATCACTGTCATGACCTTGTGACAGTATCAATCATCATAACTTTGTTTCATTCACAACTATATTAATAAAATGTACCCAAGCTTTGCAATGCTGTAAACTGGACCATGCGTACTGTATAAATTCACAAGCGAATGTGATGTTGATGCAGGGGTGGCAGCCTGTCGTCATCGAACCGAAACACGCCAAGCCCTCCACCGGGAAGCTCGTCGAAAGCACCCGACCCACACCTACTGCGCAAGAACCACGATGTCAACACGGTGACTATCGTGCAGACGACAGACACATCGCAGGTCATCAACCAGGATACCGTGATCGTGTCAGTGTCTGGACATAACGCGCGCACACTGGTGCTGCCCTCGGGACACTCGGAGGTGCAGGTGACTCTCGCGCATGTCTGACACGCAGCCACTCGGCGCCCTTCGTCGCCGCCAGACGCCTCGACGTCATACGCCTGCGCAGGCAGGCATTGCGGCTGCCGGCGCCTGCATGTCGCCCAGGATGATAGGCGGCGGCGGCGCCGTGCAAGAGACGGGGATGGCATGCCGGTGGGTACTTTCACTGCTTGCCTAGCACTGGTCTGTCCCAGATTACTCTCAGCTAAGTTGTTGCACGCAGCAGCTTCGGCAGAGCACATGTCATCTATGGCCTCAAAGGAGATACTGTTAAAGATGAAATCTTCATTACCATATGCAGTCATCTTTCACATGCATACTGGGTCGACAGGTTCACGTATCGCATGCAGATAAGTTTTTGTACCATCTTTCCTTTCTGCTATAGTGCGCATATTCAGTTGATAGTCATTTGCAGTGTCCCGACTTTCTTTTTGTGTCCTCGTTTGCAGACTCTATCTTTTTACAATGAATATGTACCAAATAACTCAGTTCTATGTTATACTAATAAGGCTGCTCACGAGTTCATACAACTTTGTTATAAGCTGCTCTGCGACATCAAAATTTAGCTGCCACAAAAAGGTTCTGATGAGCCTTCGCAGGTTGGCATTACAATGCGAAGCGCTCTGCGAAATGTGAAAATGTTTGTTGCCCAGTGCAGCATATCTGTGGGTTACCGCCCACTGCATGCCACTCTCATGAGGTCCAATGTTGCTAAGCATTAGCTAGGCTTCTTACATGGTGACATCAGTGGCGATCACTTTAGCGATAGGCTTCAATCACGAGAATCAGCCTTCGTAAGCAAATGAAAATAAATTTTACATGTTTGCTTTGCTCAGCAATCCATGCCAAGTGTCCTTGTACGCAGAGACGGCAGGCTTTTTACAGTCTCAAAATTTAGTGTCTCTATACATGATTTGGCTCTTGAGTTCATCATTGCCTTTACTATAGAAAGAAAAATGTCTTACTGCTTAAACTGTTAAGTCTAAAATATTGTTTATTTGTTTGTTTGCAGATATGCCACGACTTTCTGCAGACTCCTGGCTACTCCTTGTGGAGACTGCATGAACAGGGCATCTAAAGACTGTCTCCTTTTGATCTGCCAGTCAACCTTCGAACATTCAGATTCCTGAGCTGACAGCCTTGTGAATATGTGCATAGAGACAGTCATGAGAACGTGTGCAGAAAATGGACTGTGAATCAGCCTACACTGTGTTCAATGTGCGTGTATAGTCCATCATCTAAAATGTGTGCATGGATGTGAGTATGCATATGTGCTTATTCCCAAATGTTTGCTCGTTATCTAATGTTGCCATGTTGCCAGCACACTGCTGGGCCGATGATGGGTGTGAGACCAGACTGGTGTTTTCTCAGCGTTTCTTTATGAACTTCCGAGTGACGGAGAAAGGTCAGTTTCTTGTGGTACTGCAGTTTACTGAAAATTTGCTTCAGGTTTAGTTTTGCTGCTTACTATAAAAAAAAGTATGCATTTGAGCCTGCTTGTAACCGATGTCATGTGAGGTGTAGCTCATTATTATTTAATGAAGTATGACAAAAAGCTAGGCTAAGCTGAAGGAACAGCAAGAAAATTTGTTGTTTCTCAACATCTAAGCTTGTTTGTATTTTTCAGTGCTGATCTAATAGTGATGGCTCCCAACATTTTCGAAGCAGTGACACAATGCGCTCTTGTCATGGTAGACATCCTGGCTTGAATTACATAATTTTTGCAGTTTTCTGGCTTTCATTACCAATTTCTTGCTGATGAAGCCTCACCTTTCAAGAACAATGCTTTAGTGCACACACGATTGATGCGTTCAAATGCCATCAGCAGCGCTTGACTACTATAACAATGTGTCACCGTAAATGTGTGTGCTCATCATCATTGCTTCCAAGCTCCACAGTTTGAATCACACATCTTATGCTGCAGTGTGGCTCTGCGAAAACCATTTTGCACCCTAAGGTTTGTTGAAGCAACGTTTTTTCAGCTTTAGTGATCTTACAATATTCTCACCAATGGAGGGGAAAGCCACAACATATTTCATCTACCAACAACCATAGAAAACATTGTTTTCTCTTATGGTTATTTACCTAGTTAATAGTTGCTGGGCTTGGCTTATGGCAAAAAATTAGTCGTTGCTTCTTCATCATACAATGTGTGTAAGAATGTACCTCTTATGTGAAATTGTGCAATTGTTCGTTTAAACTGAACACAAGATTGTCACACGACACACTTTTGTAAGAATAATGTAATATGCAGTGATCAAAATTGGCACATTTATAGCAAACTGACATTGCCCAGCTATATCAGAAAAAAAACAACCTATTCCTCAAGTTACATTCGATTTATATGCTGCATGTATTCATTATTTCATGCTCTCTAAGGTTAGCTATGGCTCGTCATGGCTGCTATGGTTAGCTATGGCAGCCTTGCCCGTCAACAAGCGTTTGCTTACCATTCAAAGAGACACTAATGTGATGCAGTTATACAGCTTAGACTGACAAAGGCTTTCTTTGTGAATCATTTTTCTTTTCCTTCTGCAGCATAAGTTTACCAAATTTTATTTTTAAATTTTGCAGCAAAATTTGCGGAAATGTATGTTCACATGATGCCCTAGATTTCTGAGTGTTCTTGTTATGAAAAATTTGTGTGCTAGAACCAACATTTCGACAAGTGGACTTGTCTAAAAGAATTTCGCATCACAGGTTCCAATCTGCCCATGAAAGTGTTCTTTTTAGTTTTAGTCACATTTGCTTGATGAAATTTCTTGACCTTAGCATGGCCCCTCAGGGGACAATGTACTGTTTACCAATTAAGAACTACATAGCCTTCGTGGAAATCTATGTCATGTTTTCCATGAAGGTTGCGTCACCATATGCATTTTATCTCTGTGCGTTTGCTCGCTTAGCCAGTCTCTTCCAAGTGGTGACTTGGTATTGTGGAAGTGTAATCTACAAAAGAAATTGATTTTTTCTTTAGTACCCCTTTAATTGCATTACACTTCAGTTGGCGAGGCTTGGTTTCTGGAGTGAAATTCGGCATGGTCCAAAAGCGGTCTCTTTTCCTTGTAGAGCAGTTGTGGCTGCATTTGTGCATATAGCTGTACATACATCATGCTCACTAACAATTCAAATCACATCCTGGGAACAATCTGTGGTCGTACATGTGTCTGTCATGCCATCTAGCTTGAATTGCTCGTTTTATGACCGATAAATATTAGTGTTTGAACATGGTTTTATTGCGAGCTCGAACAAGTAGTATTCCAAAGAACTTTGAATGCCCTGTTAGGTGTTTACAATTGGTTATGCTTTCTATGTGCATTTCTTAGCTAACAGTTAAAGGTCCTGATCTTATGCTAATACACGAATGCTGAAAATATGAAACCCAGTGGTAAAGTGGAATACAAATTAAGGCTGCTTGAGAGAATCTGATTCTTTATGGCGTCTTCATAGAAATGCTCTCATAATCGTGCTCTACGCATCTTTGTGGACAAGGACAAAGTGCAGCACTGAATTTTGGCTGTGTGCTGAGCATTTCTCTCGACCTCTGAGTAGTGGCTCTCTTTTCCCAGTCAAGAGTAACTTGAATGAGTGAATACAAAGGTTCTCATTTCACTCTTAGCATTGTCCAAACTGGAGGTGGTCTTTGAATATACCGTAGCCAAAAGAGATCGGGACTGCTTATTATGCTACACAAATGCACACTTGCCTGTATATCGATCAATTCTACTGTGTGGTATGAATGAAAAAAAAAAAGCTCTGTTACTAAGTGCAACGTCTTTAGTTTATAATCCATGCACTTTTGTGTGGAGGTGTATAAAAAAACTGTGCCTGCTTATTTTGTTCAGGGGTGGTGTAGCTCAGTTACTTGGTGCCATACTGGGAAGCGGGGCTGATTTAGTGTTTACATTACGACTGTTGTTCGCTCTACTCCTTTGCTATCTGCCACTCAGAAATGGACAGTCTTTGTCAGTGATGCCCGAACTGTTGCTCACAGCACCGAGAAAATGCACCAAGGAAAGAATTGGAAGAGCATCTCTACATTGGTCGTACTCAAAATGAATCTTAAATATGTTTCCATCACCTAGCTGTTTAGGGTACCAGTTGATGCTCGATAGTTTCGGTGATTTCACTTGTTAGCTCACATATATTGAAGCATTTCCTATTAGGATTGTAGATTTGGGGAAATGGTGTTGATTCATGGCAAATATAAGCAAATATTGCATTAACTTATTACCGAAGTAATTAAATCTTAGTAACTCTGTTCAAGCTTGGTTATCAATGACTTGCACAGTCTCAAAAGAAAAAAAAATTCTTTAGTCTGAAGAGCAGTTGAAGGCTGACTCAGTTGTGGCTTGCTTTATTGTATCCTGTGGTCCTTAAAGGAGCACTGACATCACATTTACTCATGTCAAGATTTTTGCATCAACGAGTAGTTATCAAGTCCCTAGTAGTGATTTGCAACCTATAACACAACTGAGGAACGAATAACTTGTCACTTTTATTGATCTATATCACTGGTATCTAGTACGATTTAAAATGAGCAGCAATTGCACTGCAAGGTAGCGCTACCAGTGGTGCTACCTTGCAGTCACCTTCAGATCGTACCACAGTTGGCCACCTCTCCGCGAAAAAGAGTGATGTCAGACTCAGGTGCTCTGCACACATTCAGTCATGTCTTGCCACGTGCGTTGCCCTCACTACCGTATGAGCTGTCGACTAGGGTTGAATTCTATAGTCTGGAGGTTGGAATCGCCGCAATTCGCGACGTCTCGAATCATTTTTGCTTCGATCAACTCTTTGCAGAACAGCAATTCTAAAATGGACACTGTTCCAAGCGACGATGAGGACGTTCCCGAGAATGCATGCTTCAGTCATGCTCGCTCTGGTGTCTCAATTGGCTATGTTTGTGTGAGCGTATAGCCTAGTATACGAAAAGGGGTCAATGGCATATTGGTGTAATTAATGCGCACCAGCAGAGAAATAGAATACATTCTTTGCTTGCCAGGTTCTTCTTTGAGCCTCCAGATGGCCCCACCTATCCAGCCTCTCACAGTTGCGGCAGTAACCGGGCATTATGCAGACGCAAATAAGTGCACAGACTCACTATTAACGATACCTGCGTGCTACTTCTCAGCGACGATATCGGTCTATACGCTACTCCACTTCGACATCTTGTGGTCGTGTTGGCGTGTAACATGCGTGTAATGAAAAGACACCCTCACTGCACTTTTTCAGCGCTTCGAACCTGACGACTCCAACTCATAATTATTCCCTGTCATGCTGACTGACGAGCACCCGTTGAATCCTGCTCTTGTCTTTCGCCTGTATTTCATGGTGGTTGGCATCTTGATAATTTCAAGAAATCATTCAAAGTGGTGTGACAAAGATCAGACATGACAAGTGAGTACGTTTTCAGGATTTAGTGCCAGTCAGCACCACAATAATAATGTTCTGATCGATGATATCATCGCTAATAGAGCTACGTCACTCAGGAACGCATCTGTGAATTGTATCACATCGAACACGTAGCACTAGTGTCGATGTTGCAGGGGCACTCCATTTTTCATTAAGCTCTCGTACGCTGTTTGTTGTCAAAATAAAATAATTTTTGTTGACCGACGCTGTTCAAATTTAGTCAGGAGGACATACGCACACCGAGAAATCCAATGAAGGACACTTCTCGATTCTGAAATTATGTCAGTGCTTCTTTAACAATGTCAGGCCTCAGTTGGTCTTGATGACGGCAAATAATCTTCACCCGGGCTAATTTGTGGGTGCGCGGCAATTTACAGCATTGCATTGCAAAGTGTACTCATTGTAAATGTGCTCTTTGCTTATTTTTGCCACGGAAATCTAAATTACATATATGAGTTTGAATTGTGTAGCATGTCTGCATATTGCTTTTAACGAAAAACTTTGTGCTATTGTGAAAAACTTTGTGCAATGAAAAGCATTGTGCTTGCAAAAATCAAACCCAAATCGTTTCTTGGAGTGCCCTTAGAAGACTGTTGCTCAGAATCGAAGATTAGTGCAAGGCTTTGGATCAAGCAGGAAAGAATGCTTATGTGTGGTGCAGAAAACAATGAAACAATGTCAAGTATGGCCGACATTCTTAGCAACTTAATCATCGCTAGTAGTGTTGTCCTAAGCATGCATTGACTGAAGTGAGAAACACGACCAGAACCATGAACCAGACTGGACATGCTAGGGAAAAATGCTGTGATGGATTTTGCAGAGAAAAGATGGCTTAAATGTAATTTGTTTAAATTTAGGAGTTTAGGAAAGAATATTACATTCTTGAACAATGGCAGCTCTTCAACAAGTGCTTGCTATAATTTCTTCAGGGTTTCAAATTCCCATGACAGCACTGCTGAAGCAGCCACCTCCCTCCCGTGCAACAGTGGCCGCCTTAGTACTTCATGTCATGTTGCTGTCACACAATATTTGTTCCTGTCATTACTCGGAGGTGCGTTAACACTTGGTTGGAATTTTCAAAATCATGAAATGCACCACATGTACTGTGTACGTACCAGTCCCAAATGAATGACTTTCAATATAAAACAACATTATTATCACAGAAGCCGCAGTGTCAACACTCTTTTAAAATTGCAATTACACTTTTGTGCTTTGTGCCGAGTATGGTTGTTAAGGGGCTGTTGAAAATGACGTCAAAAATGTATTACCTCTGCAGATAGTTGCAATAGACCCAGTCGTTGAATTAGGAAAAAGGTCTAAAGAATATACCTTTTTTATCTGTCTTAAAGATTCTAGAACAAAGGTTTAACAATCTGCCAAAAGTTGTATGGCTGGCATGTGTTGTCAAATATTTGTGCAAAGCGAGAACTCTTATAGAAGGCTTGAGTCTGGTATAGCAAACAGCAAGGCTAAGCCAACATTTTTGTACTTCACCGCACTAACATACTCACTTGTACATTCGCATGACTCAGTAGCGATTGTTTATTTCATTTCAACTAACTCCCACACTCGATTTCAAAAGACATATCACAAACTTTATATAAGCTTGCTTGCACTTTAGAAGACACCTTGCTTACATTGTGTCACCGGCGTGCAACTAGTCATTAATTTTCTACTGGAGACGTTCTTTGGTTCTGTTGAATGAAAACAATCTACAGGGAATGCTTTGTTGAAATGTGTGTTGCCATCTTGAAGAATTTTGCTTGTTGTGTGTTATGCTTGGGCTAAATATATTGTATATGCTTTTGTGGGTGATCCTTTGCGAGGTCCTTGGAGCATGTCCTTGGAGCATGTTACGTTGCAGTGAGTTACCTCTAAAATTTAAACTTCAAGTATTAGGTAATTATCAGGTAAAACAATAATTAATACTAAAATTGCATCGGTGGTTGTCATGAAACATACCATGCTGAGGTAAAATTTTCAAAGAAGTTTTATAAACACTCTGCCTGTATTTGATCTATGAAAAACCTCATGCTTCGACAGTTGAGTTCTTGGGTAACGCTGCTGTAATAGAGCTGCCGATTCGCATGCTTCAAAGCATGATGTTCCAACCTCTGATGCAAAGTTTTGTCTCGCACATTGGTACTACTAACACAACGTTGAAAAAAAAAAAGAACGAAGCTTTCAGGATGTTCAGTATTTCTCTCTTAAATAAGAGTAAATTTGTGTGGGAACGAAACTCTGCAGCGTGTATATCAAGAAGGTAAAAGTGAATGCATCCTCGTGTCTGTGTATAAAAGCTGTGTACAGCCACGCCAACTGTTTTCCTGTGAATACGAGATACTATACATATAAAGAATGCACATATATTTTACTGTATCATACAGCTGTTTTATGACAAAAGAAGATGTTGTGGCCGTATTCAATGTTGCAACGGCAGAATAAAACGTTTCACCAAAGCTGCACAATTGTGAGAACTTTCACTCTCCGAAGCTGTTATTATTGTGCTTCCCACACGGCCACTTTGGTTTTTAGATTTGTTAATTCTCATTGTCGCAGTTGTAAATGGTCTATATACATATACAAAGGAAGCACTCCCCAACCTCTATCAGGCCTGATAAAGGTTGGGGAGTATTTGAAGGATAACTTGCCTTGAAAGGCATTGTGGGAAGCTGTTGCAAAAAGCAATGCTCGGTGTGAAACAGCCAAAATAAGTGCATATTACAGACATTGCTAATGATAAAGCACTGTGGACACATCCCTTCCGAGTGGATCTGTATAAGGCAGAAATGAAAGGTGCCAATGTCCCTTGGTCGTAATGCACTGCTCACCAAATGAAATGATGGCCAGGTCATGTCACTACGAATGTGTCCACTGAAGACGACATGGGTTCCCATAAAAACTACAACTCTGTAACAGCAATGAGACACATATACTGAGGATACACTATGTCTTAGCAATGTGTCAATAGTAAATAGCTTCGAAGCAAATAGTGGTATACCTTCGAATCAAACTGAAATATTATATAGCACGTATTATAAAAAAAATATATGCATTTTGTCTCTACCCAACTAACCAGCACAATTAAAAAACGAAAATTGAAACATGGCATGTGCAAATATGATTCTCTTTCGATCAAAGAAAAATGGAAACAACTTGGGTTGGACTTGAGTAGCAGTATGTTGCTCGAACAAATACATTGTGTTTTAAAATTTAAAATATTTGGGGCATACAAAGCAGTATAGCAAGCTTTTAAACTTACAATCTGGTGAATCGATGCAAAGGTAGTACACTCAAACCTCATTATAACAAAGTTGCATCTCACACAAAAATAAGTTTGTTATATCCAAAAATTTGTTATAAAGGTATACTCCTAGCACTATCAATTGCAAAACTATTTTTGATTTAGTTTTTTATAACCAATATTTTGTTATATTCCAGTACATTATATGGAGCTTTGAGTGTGTATTAGTTAACCTCAAGTGGGGCTTCGCAGCAGGTATTGGCCTGGTGTACGACCAATAATGGTGCTGCGAACCATGCTTGTATGATGTCAGTTTGAGGATTCGCATGCTTTCAAGGTGCGGCGCCTCATAGAACCCCTGTCCATGCAAAGCAGCAGTTTTTTTTTTATTATCTTGTTTGTGGTGGCTATCGACACTGTTCTAACAACCATGGGTGTCTGCTTTTATCAAAGCGCTCCTATCAAAATAACAGTGCTTTGTTTCTTAAAACTGCGGCCGTTTGTCTCCGCGGTGAATTCTGCGAAATGGTGAATGACTGCTCTGTGCCTCTATATCAACCACCTGTGAAAAGGGCGTTCACTTTCACAAGTATCCGACGGGATCAAAGCTAAGGAAGAAGTGTATAGTCATACTCAAGAGAGGGAAAGCGCCCCACGCCTTCATCGACTGTATGCAGCTAGCACTTTGCTGGCAGTGACTTTGCTATACTCGCCCTACGCTTTTTCGGTACGCTTTCAGTAAGCTTTCAACCGTGGTTCAGCGCCCCACCAGTACTTCAGCCATTCATTGCACGCAGGCTACAGGCGTAGGCGACTTGCATCAGGTGAGGTGCCAGCCAAAAACCTACTGCGAAAGCCCCTAGACAGGGAGCCGACGATGCGACCTCCATATCGCCTCGTGTAGGCACACCTCATGAGCAAACCTGAGCAGCGCGGGACATCTCATGCTGCAGCTTTATTTGGTTTGTGTACAGCTTTATCTGGTTCTAGAACACTGAAACCTGCTGTCGCTGTTTAGTGTACATTAGCTAAAGGCTGTCACAATAATTTTTGTAGCCCTGTGTGTGGTGTAAGGGTAGGAGGTTTGATGGCAGGTATGGCGGGTTTCTTCACGGTAGCTGGCTCCTCGCTGTCATTGGCATAGCTGATCTTCGCCAGTGAGGAGATGCATTCGTAAAAGAGACAGAACGAAAGTTTATTTACATGATAGTTGAAAGGTAGGAACTGTACAGGGATTCAGAAGATCCCGCATTTTGTACAACAGAGATTCAGTTCATGAATCAGCTCATGATTCCGCTCATGATTCGGGTTCAGGCTTCCAAAACTCTCTCGAACATGGCAGTCTAAACACTCGATCCTGGAGACGGCTTCTTCAACGTCTTCCCAAGCTTCAGAACTGATGGTTCTTTTGTGATGATTTCGCGTCAGCGATGACAATAGCCGAGTTGAGAGGTTGACTTAGTGAGACCAGCCACAGTGGCACCGTCCCACGCTGTTCGAGCCAGTTCAACAAAATGTTTGTCTCACGAAACTTTGGTTGTCACCCGATCACTACCTGGAACCCCTACAGGACAGCGTCTTGGTGACTGGGTGCCTATGGGGTTGAGAGCATCCTAGCAGATCGGCTTACGCACAATGGTGTCTGCCCAGACGAACCGCGGGGCCAAACGTAACAGCTCCTCTGCCGCCCGGAACATCTCGGCTGGCCAGCGCTCCCAACCGCTGGGCACGAAGGGAATGGAACATGGTCGATGGCCTGGCTTGGAAGCTCCAGCTGCAAACTGGTAACCGACTCCCAAACCACCTCACAATGATCGACAACAGCAAAACAAACCACACAACACAATACCATGCTGCAGTCTGTTACAAGCTGCCACTCTAGCGTCGCCAGCGCGAAGTCGGCGACGGGAATGACAGCAGGTTGGTTCGTTCTGCACGCAAGCAGAGACAGCGAAGAGATCAGAGACGTGGGAAAACAAAACAAACTTTACTCGAGTGATATTGCAGCACACGGGATCTAATACAACACTTCAATACAACTAACAAAATACATCGACACTTGATACAACTAAAGAAATATATAACAGAAACAATAAATCAGCTTACGAGAGAGAACTTATTAAAAACTACACAAACTAACACGAATAGAACGACGGAGGAGAAAGTTCGAAGACATAAACAGGTGAAGGCATACGTGTGATGAGCGGCAGCGTTGTGTCCCCGACGATCGGATGCGAGAAGTCGAAGAGAGTTCTGGCACGACTGCGATGTCGGCGGTGTTGCAACGCTGGTGGCTCCGGGAGGCTAGTGCTTGCAGGTACGTGACTTCGAGCAGGTTGAGCTAACTCGAGGCGAAGTCCCGATGTCTACGTTGCAGACGTTAATATCGCGTCACAACTAGACGAACGGCTAAGTTTAGGTGGCCAGCCGATACAGAGCCACACTAAAAACTTCTAGAAGAGATGCTTGTTGATCTGTTTCTACACCATCTTGGTCAGCGACTAGTCTGCCTAGCAGGGCAAAATCCTGCGCTTAAATCCCCCTCGTGTCTCCTCGCTCTCTTCCTTGGGGACAAGAGACGTCTACCTGGGTCCAATCATGCGCGTTTAATTGAGGGGAACTCCGCCCCAAAAATATTTTGACCCCACCCCTTTTTAATAGGGAGAGGGCCCGCAACTAGCGAGAGTGACAACCTCTCGGGTTGTTGTCATACGGCTTGGCCACCAGAGCGTTTCCCACGCTTTTCTCCGTGGGAACGGTCAACCACTTAGCTCTCAGCCGGGCGTCTTGTAGTCTAATCCTTGTACGGGGTATACCGCGGCCTTCTACGACCTTGCAGACGCCGCCACAGTTACAGTTACACCGTCGGCGGCGACGTTCTAAGGAGAGCACCCCATTTTGCACTTATCGGTTCCCTTTCATGTGCCGCCGTTTCTCACGGTCAGTCGGGGAGTACGGCGCCCGTTAATTGCCGTGACGCAGTGTCGCCGAAAAAAGCCGTCCGTGACATTGCCCCCCACTTTCAGAATGTTATTCATAACATTTGTTCGCACGGAGGGGAATTTTTCCGACAACAAGGAACAAAACACCACCAACAAGGGAGGCATGAGGACTGTTCCTCTCATACACAACATAAATAGGCAGAGTGCATCAAAGTAACAACAAAGGAAAAAACAAACAATGGTTAGAGTACCAGCTTCATTTACACGCAACAATATCAATGCGCCATACAAACAAGAAGAGGAAATAGCCGTGTACGGCAGCCATCAATACAGAATACACTGCACGAATGTATACTACAAAATAAAACGGAACAGGTGCGCTCCTCAACTGTAGTGCAATCCTTCAATGTGCATTACAGCAAGTAAAAACAACCAATGCACCAAGCAACAAAAAAATAACTCAAAATACACTTCTTATACAATGAAATACGTACCTACAAACAGAAAACAACCGACGGAAGTAAAAAGAAAACATGCTCATAGACCTCAAGTCTCAATGCGCGCAACGACAACTGTAGCGGGTCACGCCAATCTTAATCAATTTACGAAATCATTCGGTTTATGCTAACATCTTCCTCAAATGCTCATTCATGCCACATCCCCATGGCAGTGGAAGTATACGATATTACACTAAGCCTTTGAAAAAAAACGAGAAAAATAACATATTTTCTCCGTTTTTACCTTATGCAAATTTTCGCACTCATGATTAAACTAACTTCAATTTTCAGCCTTTGGTTCGGCGGTTTTCCTTTTGAAAAATTTACACCGCATCACGTAACCTACAAAATTTAAAAGACTTGAATACGCATCTTGACGTACCCTGAGTAACAGTATTTAACACGCCTATGCAAAAGTTACTCGAACTGACCGTTCCCCCTTTCTCAACTAGATTCTTTTGAATCGCACCCGATGGGGTCGTGGTGCGGGCAGTTTTCGAGCACGCCAGAGGATACAAAATGCACAAACTCTAAGCAGTGCACTGCCGTCACACCTCATTTTCCACTTTGGCCTGTTCCCCTCAGGAATTTGAAAGGGACGCCAGAAACAGGGGGAAAGCTGGGGCCACTGTCCCTTTGTGTTCGCCCCGTCGTGGTTTTTAGCTTTTGTGATCTTTCGACGTTGACCCTTCGGACAAGGTCGCCTTCCTGAAGTTGTCGAACTAAAACGCGCCTTTCCTTTGGGTAAAGCACCTCGTTTCTCCCCTCTACACCTGGCTCGC